TGCAGGCAGTGGCAGAGCACCTCGAGCACGTGGCAGATGCGGTCCTGGCGCTGCACACGGTGCTCGCGGCTCCACTCGGCCAGCCAGCGCAGCGGGTCCCCGCCGCTCTTGCACATGGCCTTCGCGAGGAACACCACCGAGACGGGCCCGTCGATAGGATCTTCCGCGAACGAATCCTCCGTGATCTCGCTGACCACGCTGCGCCAATCTTTATGACGTTCACCATGTCCGCCGAAGTCAACGCTCAGCGTACTGATGTGGCCCGCGGAGCTCGGAAGCATGCGGTCACCCCGACCACGCTGACCGTCACATGCTTCCGCAGCTCCCAGACCGAGATGTTCCTTCGCTTCCTCCTCCACAACACGGTCGGCGGCCCGCTCGGCCGTTCCCACGGCCCGCCGAAGGCGGCCCACCTGCTCACTAGCCCGCCGAGGGGCGTCAGCGACAGCCACTCGCGTCACCTGGCACACCTCGGAGTCGAAGTCTTTCAGGCCGTCCGTTCCCATGACGAATTCGGCCTGCGTCATCTGCACCTCCTCCCCGATCGCGTGCCCGCCTCCAGGCTCCATCAGCATCCAGATGGTCTCGCCCACGGGAGCGTCAGCTGGTGGACCAGGTCGATCCACTCTTGGCCCACAGAGTAGAAGACGAAGACCCTGTCGTCGACCCTTCTCGTTCAGCGCGTAATCGAACCAGTCGTCCTCGGCCTGCCCGCGCGCCGCCTCGATGTCACGACAGCCCTTGCAGAGGGCCAGCACCCGCTCCAAGCTCGGCCTATCCTTGAACTTATATACAGCCACCGTGCACCCAAGGCGGGGAAGCCCACATCAGGAAGAGGTCGAGCTCTACTAGGCCCGCGCTCGGGATCGCTCCCGTCCAGACGTTCCTTCCAAAGGTCGCCGTCGGGAGAGAGCACCCACCACAACGCCTGGTCCTCCCTGGCTCCTCCATCGCCGCGGAGTCGGCGTCCAGGCCAGATCAGCACCCTCTCGTGGTCCACGTCGTCGTCGCTGTAGCTGACGCGGCCCCGAGAGCCCACAGCAGCCTTAGTCCAGAACTCCTGCTCCCCTGCGGCGAGGCGCAGCGGCACGAGCGCGTGAGCCATCCTCGGCAACCTCAGCTGGAGCTACGCGTCGGCGCTCGCGGTGCAACCGCCACAGCGCTCCGCCGATCAGCTGGCCCAGCCACCACACCAGCGGCCCTGCCCAGGCCAGTGGCTGCTAGCCGCCCTGCTCCTCCACCGGGCAGACCAGCGGTTCGGCGATGGGGCAGGTCGGCTCCGAGCTGACGGCCCCCGACACTGGCGTCGGGCCGGGTGTGGGCGGCGGCCCGCTCGACGACCGGTTGCGGTCGACCTCCAGCTCGCACTCCCACTCCCCGCGGGAGAGGTGCTCTTGGCAGATCTCTGCAACCAGAGAATCACCCAAGAGGGAGTTTCGGTGGGGCAGGTGTCAGCATGTCACCCCCGAACCTAAGAGGGCTGCGGTCGCAAGACGAGGCCTGAAGGCATGCAAGACGACGACACCCCACTCCCCGCTAATCATGTCCGCGCACGCACCGCCATCGTCGTCGTCATCATCCTCATGCTCATCCTCAGTCTCATCCTGCTCCTCCTCCTCCTCCTCATCATCATCATCATCATCATCATCATCATCAGCAGCAGCAGCAGCATCAGCAGCATCAGCACCATCATCATCATCATCATCATCATCATCATCATCATCATCATCATCATCATCATCATCAGCATCATCATCATCATCAGCAGCAGCAGCATCATCAGCATCATTATCAGCATCATCATCGTCATCATATCGTCAAAATCATAATCATTATGATCATCATGATCATCGCCCTCCTCATCATCATCATCATCATCAACATCATCATCATCATCATCATCATCATCATCATCATCATCATCATCATCATCATCAGCATCAGCATCAGCATCATCATCATCATCATCATCATCATCATCATCATCATCATCATCATCATTATCAGCAGCAGCAGCAGCAGCATCCCCTCCTCCTCCTCCTCCTCCACCTCCTCCCCCTCCTCACCAAGCTTCCAACGACTTGCTTGGGTCGAGTGGCGCCGCTCCCAGAGCTCTCGACTCCCTGCCGGGGGCCAGCTTTTCTTCCTGGGCCACTTCTTCCAAAGCCCTGGGGCCCGGAAACGGCGCCAAAGATGCAAGAAAAACCCTCTGGCGCTACGGTCGAGGCGTTTGTTCAAGGAATAGTCCCAGGAGGCGCCAGGCCCTGGAGGGTTCCTTCTCTGATGAGGGCGGCGGTGATATCCATGGCCGATCCACGATTGGAGCTCCACAGGCTTCCAGACCCTGGAGTTCTTATCGAAGGTTTCCTCATCCGGTGTGAGGAGGCCGCGGCTTGCGTTCGTCGAGGCGACCCCGCCCTGCGCTGCTGTGTCAGGAGGCGACCCCTGCTCGCTCAATGAAAAAAGCCACGCTCGCAGGAAAGCTGCTCGCCCACAGAGCACGGCTACACTTCGGCTTTTCTTGGACGGAATTATGCGAAGGGGGGGGTTAGTTTAAGCCGCGGCCTCCTCAATCCGGTGCCCCCACCGCACCTTCCCCCAGCAGGCGCCCCAGGCCCCACTCCCCCCAGCATCGACCTCAAGCTGTTGTGCCGGGGCGCGCCGTGGCCGACAGAAGCTTCGGGGTCGAACCCGGGGGCCGCGGCGACGGGAGGCCCGCGGGACGCCGCAAGAAGAGGCCCCATGGGCCGAAAAGCAGCCAGAGGCCCAGATTACCAGCCTGGAACATATCCCTATCCCCATGCTGGGCATCTCCTCATCACGATACCAATCTTAGGGATTCCCTTCTTTTGAGGGCGCATCCCTAAGATTGTCATCGCTTCTTGGCGTGTCAATCTTAGGGATAGGGATAGGCTCGAGGCTGGTAACCAGGGATCCGCTGTCTTGTTCTCTTCAGGACGGCCCCCTCCCGGATCTCGACCCTTGTCCCAGGCCAGCTTTCCGTTGTGAGTCGTTCCATTCTCCGTCCCAGGGTCCCTCGAGGGCCCGACGAGGCCGAAAACGGCGGAAGACCTCCGCCTTGGTGTTCTCAATGCTTTGGAAGCCTGAGGATCCAAAACTACTGCCCCAACAAGGTCGACCCCAAATAGGAAAGCAACCACGTCAGCAAAGCTGGCAGAGGCCTCGGAACACGCAGTCCTTATGACCGGGTAAGAACCCCTTATGCTAAAGCATGCTTGGGAAGAAAATCCGAGGCACTCGAAGAGAAAGGATCCACGGCGGAGGGGCCGCGCCTGCGGTCCATCTCGCGCACCATGCGGCAAGCCTGCTCCCACCAGCCCTCCTGCGCGTGGTCAACGGCGCCAACGCTCGCCGTCGTCGTCGTCGCCACCGTCATTGTCGCGACCGTCGTCGTATGTTCCTCCTCCTCCTCCTCCTCGTCCTCATTCTCCGCCTCCCCCTTCCCCGTCCCCGTCCTCCTCCGCCTCCTCCTCCTCCTCCTCCAACTTCTTCTCCTCCTGCTCTTCCTCCATTCCTTTTCCTTCTAAATAACCTGTCCCTGTCCTTGTCCTTCTAAATAACCTGTCCCTGTCCATAGGGCGGACCGGGCGTTTCGCCTGAGACTCCCTCACCATTTATGACCCTGACGCTTCAAAATTGGCAAGAGGTTCACAGGTGGAGAGCGGGTGGTTTTCAAAATGTGGATCTCACCTCAACGCCGCGCACATTAATTTCAAACGTTTGCAACAGTTTCACAACTTGATAGCGGGTCGTGTTCTCTCGCCTTAGCGCTGCGAACCTTCTTTTCAACACTTTGCAAGAGTTTCACGGATTGAGGGCGGATGGTTTTCAAAATGTGGCTCTCGCCACAGCGCCACGCACATTTGTTCTAGAAAATTGTGCGAATTTCACTGATTGAGCGCGGGCCGGTTTCAAAATGTGGCTCTCGCCTTAGCGCCTTAGCGCCGCGCACATTCGCGCTACAAAAATTGCAAGGTTCACGGGTTGAGGGCGGGTGGTTTTCAAACTGTGGCTGTCGCTTCAGCGCCGCGCACATTCGTTCTCAAGAGTTGCAAGAGTTTCACGGGTTATCCTGGTCAACGTACCAGGAATGGCGCGTTGGAAAGATTCAGGAGCATGAAGATGCAAAAGATACATTGATTCGTGGTGTTGAAGTCCCACGAATGGCGTTCTGGCACGATTCTAGATCGCCAAGACTCAGCTGTTAGGTTGATCCGTGTCGATGGAATCCCGAAAATAATGTTTTGACATGCTTCAGGGTCTTCAAACGGTTGTCTTCCAACGGTGCAGTTCCAGGCAGGTCTCTCAATGGAAATGAACCCTTGTAGTGGCCTGTGAAAAAGGAGCTTGGAGGGAGGGTTTATGCCAACATCGTTGATGACGCTTGGGTTTACAATGGTCCTCCTCCTCCTCCTCCTCTTCCTCCTTCTCCTCCTCGACCTCCTCTTCATCCTCCTCCTCCTTCTCCTCCTCCTCCCTCCCCCTCCTCCCTCCCTCCCTCCCTCGCTCGCTCCCCTCCGCTCGGGGGTCCCCTTCCCAAAACTCCTTCATATGATCTATTCCCTTCTCATCCTGACCTCTCTTCGATTTCGCTCTTGCTCGTCTCTCTCCTCGGTTTCCCCCGCGTGCACTGCTCCTCCATGGGAACAAACAACTTGAGGGATCCACAAACCCGGTAAGGAACTTGAGTCAAACTTTCTCCTGAAGCGCGTGCAACACGTTCACTGCACTTGGCTACAACCGTCTATCTCATGCACGCCCTGCTCATACTCCTCCTTCTTCTCCTCCTCCTCCTCCTCCTCCGCCTCCTCCTCCTCCTCCACATCATCATCATCATTATCAGCCTCCTCCTCCTCGTCCTCGTCCTCCTTCCTCGTTCCTCTTCCTTCCTCCTTCCTCCTCGTCATCAGATTTCTGCCTCCACTTTCCTTCTCCCATCGTCATCTCCCTCCTGCACGACGGCACCTGTGCACGCGTGAAGAATCCGACGCGACCAAAATTGGGTCCCCCCCCCTGGGACCCGTGGACAAGTAAAAATACGTGCCCCGCGCGCATGCGCCGGGCGCATGTTGCCCCCACCCCTCTGCGTACGCACTTTCACATGTAAAGAATCCGACGCGCCCAAGTTGGGTCCGTAAGGGCCATGGGCGCACGAAAACAAGTGCCCCGCGCGCACGCGCCCGGCGCACGTTGGGTCCCCACTCCGCGTACAGATTACGTGTAAAGAATGCGACGCACTCAAATTGGGTCCCCCCGTGGGGACCGTGGACGCTTCAAAATAAGTGCCCCGCGCGCAAGCGCCAGGCGCGTGTTAGGACCCCTCCGCGCCCAAGACACGTGAAAATAAATGCCCCTCGCGCAAGCGCCAGGCGCATGTTGCCCACCCCCCCCCTTCCGCAAACGTATTCTTATGGGGGCCGTGGACACGGGAAAGTAGCTTCCCCGCGCGCACGCTCCAGGCGCATGTCGGGTCTCCCCCCCTCCGCACGCGCATTTTCACATACAAAATATCCGGCGGGCTTACACTGGATCCCCCGTGGACACGTGAAAGTACGTGCCCCGCGCGCACGCGCTAGACGCATGTTGGGTCCCCCCGTCCGCGCACGCAAGCTGGGTCCCCCCTGGGGGCCGTGGACACATGAAAGCACATGCCACGCGCACGCGCCAGGCGCATGTTGGGTCCCCCCCCCCGCGCACGCATTTGCACGCGTATAGAAACGGATGCGCCCAAGTTGGGCCCCCCCCAGGGGGCAATAGACACGTGAAAACACATGCCCCGCGCGCACGCGCCAGGCGTATGCTGGGTCCCCCCCTCCGCGCAAGTACTTTTACGTGTCGAATTCTGGCGGGCTAACTCGGGTCCCTCGCCTGCGGCCCCGTCATTGGCTAGAAACATGTGAAAACACACATGGACACATGCCGAACGCACGCGTGCCGAGACTCATGCTGGAGACCACCCCTGTCTGCACACCGTACTTTTATTTCCGACGCTGCTGCCCGACACCCTGGCCCGCAAAGTAAAAAAGAACCCCAGCCTGGAGCCCTAACTGGGAGCAAACGGGGCACGTACAACTCGGGATCGCAAAGAGCCAGCAGGCCCACAAGGTACATCGGGCGCCGCGGCCGCGGCGCACCAGAGCGATCTGGAATGCTCTGATAACTAACTGTGGTTCTCTGGAGCAGGTGACAGAACAGAGACTGCAATAAGCCGGGACCAGCTTCCCGGAAACCGCTGGAGAAATGCCCGGCCAGAACGAACAGGCCATGCTTCTTGATGCAGGCCTGCCAGATCCTCGCCGGCTAGGTCCCTCGTTACTTGGTGACACCCGCGGCCTGGCCGGCGAACCCGCAAGAGTCGTGGTCGTAGCTGCCACCGAGCCCGCCATCGTCGGATTCGCGGCCGTCGCGCCCGTCGTCGTCGTCGTCCTCGTCGTCGTCGTCGTCGTCGTCGTCGTCGCGGTCGTGGTGGTGGTCGTCGTCGTCGTCGTGGTCGTGGTCGGCGTCGTCGTCGTCGTCGTCGTTGTCGTGTCGTCGTCGTCGCCGTCGTCCCCAGCGACGGCCCGTCGACCTTGGCACACGCAGCCAGGGCGGCGTTGTAGGCGATCGTGGACTGGGGGGGGAGCGCTGCGCGGCTACGAGCGAGAGACCGCCGCAAGGGCTCCGAACGACAGCGGCCGCCAAAAAAACAAGCAAATCGGAAAAGACGCCCATTCGAGCAGATCTGCCACATGCCTTTGCGGGTCAGGGGGGCCTCACACACGGCCCAACAAACCCCAAGACGGCGCAAAGACGGCCCGAAAAGCCTCAGGGCGGCGGCGACACTCAAAAACTATCAAACTCCGATGGGTCCCTGTACATTCTCGGCACTTCCAGTTCTCAAGCTCAAGATGGCTCAAAGAACGGCCGAAGAGCCTGATGCACCTACATTAGTGTACACCCATATACATACATACATTCATACATACAGACAGACATACCTACCTGCCTGCCTACCTACCTCCATACAAACATACATATATATACACAAATACATAAACATATACATATCTACATATACATATACATATGCATACCATATACATATACATATGTACACATATTCAAACATGCATAAGTACATGTATACAGTTATACATGCATGCATTCATCATGCATGCATGCAGACAGACAGACAGACAGACAGACAGACAGACAGACAGACACATACGTACATACCCACATACAGGCAGACAGACAGACATACATGCATGCATATACACAAAGATCCATACATGCATACACGTGGACATACATACAAACACATGGATACATACATACATGCAGACCGATGCATAAACATAAACATAAATACATATAAACATACATGCATACATGCAAAGAAACAAACACACAAACATACATGCATGCGCAAACATATACACATACATGCGTACATACACACATGCATGTATACATACGAACATACATAATCAAACGCATGCATACATACATGCGTGAGTACATACATGCATACAAACATGCATGCATACATACATACAGATGCACGCATGCATACATACATATATACATACATGCATACATACATACATGCATACAGACAGACAGACAGGCAGACATGCATGCATGTATACATGTATGTATACATAATCACATGCGTGTATAGACATATGCATGTATGGATACATGCGTGCATACACGCATGTATGCATACATACAACCGTGCATACGTATATGCGTGACATACATGCATGCGTATATGCACACGTACCTACATGCATGGATTCATCAAGTCACGCATTTATGTGTACATACATCTATGCAAACATGCATGCCTGCATGCATGCATACAATTACATACACCTATAGATATTCAAATACATATGCACATACCTATCCATATACATATACAACTAAACCTACATAAACACGTATACACATAACTCTATAAATTTACTAGAACCATGCAGAGGATTTGCGGTGAAACCACGGGGGTGGAAGTAGGTGCAGGATAATCGAGGGTCTACTGAGGATCCAATGAGGGAAAGCCATGAGAAACGAGGATACTCAAAGACAAGCACAGGAGTGAGGGGGCGAAAATCATAGGGAAACCTTGCGGCAACCAAAAAACAAGGAGATTTGACTCTCGGCAGCCTTTGGGGGGCTCTCTGGGAGCCCTCCCGTGGCGTCTTGGCTGGAGGCCTCTTGGAGGGGGGAGGGAAAATGACGCAGCGGGGAGGAGGGAGGAGGAGAGGAAAGAGACGGATGTGGAACGGGAGACAACGGAGAGCCAAGAGCAAGAGAGAGATCAAGAAAAAGGGACAGCTAGGGATAGGGAAAACGGAAACGCACTCGGGGGCACGCCAAAGCCTGGGACAGGAGGAAACGAAGGGGGGGGGTCGACCTTGAAAAAAAGGATTTGAGCGAGTTCCCTGTTTTTGTTCCAGCTGGGTCTCCTACCACGTAATTAGTGGGGCAGAATGCTGGGTGAGGGAGGTGGCGGAGAGAGAAATGAAAGAAAGATGAGGATGGGGGATGGGGGAGACGGAAGTGCACGTCTGTTCCTATAGGTTGGGCCTCCCCTGGGGCACGAATCCTCCCCAGAAGTCCCCAGCAGGCTCCAGGAGGCTCCAGGAGGCCCCACGAGGCCACACGAGGCCCCAGGAGGCCTCAGGAGGCCACAGGAAGACCTAAGAGGCCAGGGGATGCCCCAAGAGGCCCCAGGAGGCCGCAGGAAGCCCAAGGAGGTTCCAAGAGGCCCCCGGAGGCCCCAGGCTCATGCGCAGAGGCGCGCCCGTACGAATGAGACTCCTTCACACTTCAACGCATTCACAATTAGATCCACTCACATACCGTCAATACTCAAGCTCGTGTACAGTCGAAACCCCTTGCGCCTAGACGCACACGGCGGACAGGCTCGTACGAATAGATGCGCGCACGGGGAGCCCAACCCCGTGAATGCTGTTATCGCATGGTATGGTGTGTAATGCTATGCTAGGTTATGTTCTGACATGGTATGATATGGTATGGTATGGTTTGCCATGGTATGGCAGTGGATGCTATGGTATGGTATGGCACGGATGATGTGCTCTGGTGCGTTATGTTACGGTATGGTATGGCGTGGTGTGGCATGGTATGTTATGTTATGGTACGGCGACGATGAAGAAGAAGATGATGAGGAAGATGGTGACGATGATGAGGAGGAGAAGGAGGAGGAGGAGGATGCTGATGATGCTGATGATGGTGATGATAATGATGATGACGACGGAGCATCTTATGAAGAGGTCTCGAGCGAGGCGCGGGCGTCAGCACCCCCAAGGGGGAGCCGCCAGGTGGTATTGCACCCCCTGTTCGCGCCAAAATGGCGGGGATGTCTCGAGCGGTTCGCTTGTTTCTTTGCGCGATATCGTCAGTTTTCGGGGCAGGTTTGGAGGATGTCTGGAGCGACGCGATCATGTTCGCACCCAGGAGGGGCCAGACGTTGAAGATGTCTCGATCGGTTTGCTTGTCTTGGTGGCCAGTTTCGTAGGCACAGATCCCCCCCAGGATGCCACAGGAGGCTCCAGCAGGCCCCAGGAGGCCCCAGGAGGCCACAGGAGGCTCCAGTAGGCACCAGGAGGCCACAGGAAGGCTCAAGAGGCCACAGGATGCCCCAAGAGGCTCCAGGAGGCCCCAGGAAGCTCCATGAGGCATCAGGAGGCTCCAGGATATTCCAGGAGGCCACAAAAGGCCACAGGAGGCCCCAGAAGGCCACAGGAAGCGCCAGGAGGCACCAGGAGGCCACAGGAAGCGCCAGGAGGCCCCAGGAGGCCCCAGGAGCAGGAGGCCTCAGAACGCCACAGGAGTGGCTCCAACCCCTTGTGTTTACGTATGCTCCTATAGATGGGGCCTCACCTGGAGCACGAATCCTTAGTGTTTTACGTACGCTCCTATAGATTACGCGTCACATCCTTAAGTGGTTTACGTATGTTCCTACAGAATGGGCCTCGCCTGGGGCACGAGTCCTTCGTGTTTACGCGTGTTCCTATAGATTGCCCTTCTCCTGCGGCTCCAGTCCGCAATGGTCATGGACGTATGTTTCTATATATATTGGGCCTCTCCTGGGGCACGAATCCTCCCCAGGAGGCCCCAAGAGGCTCCAGGAGGCTCCAGGGTGCCCCTGGAGGCCACACGAGGCCCCAGGAGGCCTCAGGAGGCCACAGGAAGCCCAAAAAGGCACCAGGGGGTCCAAAGAGGCCCCAGGAGGCCCCAGGAAGCCCCAGGAGGTTTCAGGAGGCCCCAGGAGGCCCCAGGAGGCCCCAGGCTCATGCGCAGAGACGCGCTCGTACTACTGAGACTCATTCACGCTCTAACTCATTCAGTTAGATTCACCCCCAGACCGCCACTACTCAAGCCCGCGTAGATTCGAAAACTCAGTGAATTCGCCGGCCTCACGGGCCAGAGGCGTGCTAAAAACTCCGGTAACTAGTTTACAATGTTCTAGTTCGCCCGCGTGGGGCGGCCCCTGGGGGCCCTCGAACGAAAAGTACATGGACAGGTCCCGGCCAGGTGAGGCCCAGAGATAGTTTTCCTCCTCGGCGCTGCCTTCCAGGCTTTCCCGAGCGCTCCAGGAACGCTCCAAGAGAGCCCCGTTGCTCCAGACGGTCCGAGGGGCCCTCGGTCGCCGCCAGACGGCCCAAAACGCAGCCAAGAAGCCCCAAGAGAGCCTCAAGAGGCTCTCCCAGAGAGCATCAACAAACAAAAAATGTCCCACTCCCTCCAGAAAACGTACGTTTGCGCATAAACGACGTTTCGAGGTCCAGCGCGTCCAACACTGCCCAAGAGACCTTCAAGATCGCCCCAAGACGGCCCAACTGACTCCCAAGATGGGCCCAACACGGCCCAAGAGGGCCCCAAGACGGCCCACAAGGCCCCCTGAACAGCCCTGGACAGCCCTACGAGGGACCCCATCGGGGGAGCTCGAATTGAACTTTCCAGCTTGCCGACCCGCACGATCGCCCCAAGACGCCCAAGATGGCCTCCAGACGGCCGAAGACGCCGCCAAGAAGCCCCAAGAGAGCCTCAAGAGGCTCTCCTAGAGAGCCTCAACAAGCAAATTATCCCGGCAAAGCAACCTAACATCGATGTGTAGGAGCATATCTGGAAGCATTCCCCTTAAGATTCGGATGAGAATCCAGTTGTAGAATTCTGCTGTTCTCGCAGTCGTAGTCGCATTCGCGATGACAGTCGCAGTGGCAACGGCAGTCGCAGTCACAGCCTCAGCCTCAGCCTGCCTCAGCCTCAGCCTCAGCCTGCCTCAGCCTCAGCCTGCCTCAGCCTCAGCCTCAGCCTGCTTCAGCCTCAGCCTCAGTCTGCCTTCAGCCTCGGCCTCAGCCTCAGCCTGCCTCAGCCTCAGCCTGCATCAGCCTCAGCCTCAGCCTCAGCCTGCCTCAGCCTCAGCCTGCCTCAGCCTCAGCCTCAGCCTGCCTCGCCTCAGCCTCAGCCTGCTTCAGCCTCAGCCTCAGTCTGCCTCAGCCTCGGCCTCAGCCTCAGCCTCAGCCTCAGCCTCTCTCAGCCCTGCCTCAGCCTCAGCCTCAGCCTCAGCCTTCAGCCTCAGCCTCAGCCTGCTTCAGC